CATGGAGTGGAAGAATCAATATCATAACAATGGCCATACTGCCCAGAGCAATCTGCAGATTTAACACTATTTCTATCAACTTACCAATGTAATTTTCACAGAAGTAGACAAAAGTATTCTAAAATTCAAATGAAACCAAAAAGTTGTACAAATAGGCAAAGCAGCACTAAGCAAAATGATCAAAGCCAGAGGTATCACACTACCTGACTTTAAACTACGCTATAAAGCTATGGTAACCCAAACAACATGGTACTGGTAAAAAAACAAAGACATGGACCAAATGAACAGATTAGAAAACTCAGAAATAAAGCCACACACCTACAACTACCTGATCTTTGTCAAGGCTGACCAAAATAAGTAATGGAAAAAGGACTACCTATTCCATAAATGATTCTGGGTTAACAGGCCAGCCATATGCAGAAGACTAAAGATGGACCCCTATCTTTCATCATATACAAAAACTAGCTCAAAAAGGATCAGATTTCAAAGTAAGACTTCAACTTATAAAAATCCTAGAAGACAACCTAGCAAATACTCTTTTCAACACTGGCCTGCCTTGGCAAATAATTTTTGGCTATGTCCTCAAAAGCAATCACAACGAAAAAAAATCGGACAAATTGGACCTAATTTAACATAATAGCTTCTATTCAGCAAAAAAAAAAAAAAAATCAACAAAGTAAACAATCTACAGAATAGGAGAAAATATTCACAAACTGTGCATCTGACAAAGGCCCAACATCCAGACTCTATAGGGCACTTAAACAAATCCAAGACTGACAACAGAGAACACACTGCTGGAAAGACCTGGGCAGAAATGGAGAGACCAGAGGGAACCATGCTACATTTTCATCTAAAGAGAGAACACACATCTGATGAGATGAAAGTTCTTTGTTGTTTTAGATTGTAGAATGCTATTGAATTGGTCTGTGGAAAATCGCATTGCTTTTATTTCTTTGTGTAATCAGTTTAAGTAATAGGGGATATATAATCATAAGCATTTTAGGGTGGGATGGATATTAAGTAATTTTAACTGGGTGGGGTTATTTAGAATGTTAGAATAATATTATGTATTAGATATTGCTACAAGTGAACATGTGTACCTGTGAACCTCTGCCCTGTAATTGCTATCCTTAAAGATTTCAAATAAACTCGGAGGGAACTGCAGGGAGACCAACTTATTTAGAGCGAATTGGACAAGGATAAAAACCCTAGTGGGATAAAGTTCAAAGGTTGTTAGATAAACAATTTAATAGAGGATGAGTGCCCTTTGAGAAATTATTGCTAGATTGAAATCGTCAATGATGGATGGTAAATTTTCATGGAAGTTATAAAAGTGATAAATAAAAAACACTTGCTTTCACCTCTGTCAGTAGCCCTCCTCCTACCACTGAACCCCATTACCCTTACCCCTCCTTCAAACTTTATTGCTGTATTCTCTTCACTCTATATTGCTCTCTATTTACTAATACTGCATTGCTGTTACAGTAAAATTTCAATAAAGATTTAGTGGTTAAGGGCAAAAAAATTTTTTTAAATCAACAATAAAGAAAATGAATAACCTCATTAAAAAGGTGAGCAAGGAATATGAACAGACACTCTCCAAAAGAAGACATACAAGTAACCAACAAACAGATGAAAAAATGCTCAATATCATTGATCATTAGAGGAATGCAAATCCAAACCTCAGGAGGATAGCATCTCACACCTGTTAGAATGGCTGTTATTAAAATGTCAAGAAAACAACAGATGCTGGTGAGCCTGTGGAGGAAAGGAAATACTTATACACTCTTAGTGGGAATGTAATTAGCTCAGTCACTGTAGAAAGCAGTCTTGAGATTTCTCAAATAATTTAAGATAGTGCTATTTGATCCAGCAATCTCATTAGTGGCTGCATACCAAAGGGAAAATAAATCACTCTACCAAAAAGACACATGCACTTATATGTTTATTGCTATACTACTCACAATAACAAAGACATGGAATCAACCCAGGTGCCCATCCTTGATAAACTTGGTAAAGAAAATGTGGTACAAATACACCATGGCATATTACGCATTAATAAAAAGAGTAAAATCATGTATTTTTCAATAATGTGGACCCCCTCCCCACACTTTAGCGTTATGTAATATGTCCACATAAGAAACCTGCACGTTTACTCCTTGTGTTTAAAATAAAATTTGAAATTTAAAAAAATTATATTTTGATGACAAGTAAACAGAATAAAAAAGAAAGAAATAAAAAATGGCCAGGCACAGTGGCTCATGCCTGTAATCCCAACACTTTGGGAGGCTGAGGTGTGTGGATCACTTGCAGCCAGGAGTTTAAAACCATCCTGGCCAACATGGTGAAACCTGGTCTCCATTAGAAATACAAAAATTAGCTGGGTGTGGCAGCAGGTACCTGTAATCCCAGCTACTAGGGAGGCTGAGGCACAAGAACCACTTGAACCTTGAACCCGGGAGGAAGACGTTGCAGTGAGCTGATATGGCACCACTTCATTACAGCCTGGGCAATAAAGCAAGACTCAGTCTCAAAAAAAAAAAAAAAAAACAAAACAAAACAAAACAAAATTCATCATTTTTGAATAGCAAAATTATTCTATACTTCCTCTAAATACTTTAAAATCTTTTTTGTAAAATAGGACTTTTCTTATAATGTGATCATTTTATTAAACATTCCTTCATTTTACCATCTTTAATGTATTTAGTGACTGAGAATTTTCATAGTATTACTACATTTTTAAATGTGAATTTGTTAGTTATATCACATATTTATTCGTGCAATAGCAATTTACTTTGAGAAGCTCAACATACACAAATATATAAATGTAATCCATCACATAAACAGACTCAAAGACAAAAACCACATCATGATTATCTCAATAGATGCAGAGAAGGTGTTCAACAAAATTCAATAGCCTTTATGCCAAAAAGCCTCAATAAACTAGGTATCAATGGAATAGATCTCAAAATCATAAAAGCTATTTATGACAAACTCACAGCCAATATTATACTGAATGGGAAAAACTGGAGGCATTTCCTTTGAAATCTGGCACTAGACAAGGATGCCCTCTCTCACAACTCCTATTCAACATAGTACTGGAAGTTCTAGCCAGAGCAATCAGGCAAAAAAAAAAAAAAAAAAGAAAAAAGAAAAAGAAATAAAGGGTATTCAATTAGGAAAGAAGGAAGTCAAATTGTCACTATTTGCAGACATGATTGTATATTTAGAAGACCCAGTCGTCTCAGCCCAAAATCTATTTAAGATGATAAGTAACTTCAGCAAAGTCTCAGGGTACAAAATCAAAGTGCAAAAATCACAAGCATTCCTATACACCAATAACAGACAGAGAGCCAAATTATGAATGAACTCCCATTGACAATTGCTACAAAGACAATAAAATACATAGGAATACAACTAACAAGAGATGTGAAGGACCTCTCCAAAGAGAACTGCAAACCACTGCTCAAGGAAATAAGAAAGGACAGAAACAGATGGAAAAACATTCCATGCTCATGGTTAGGAAGAATCAATATCGTAAAAATGGCCATTCTTCCCAAAGTAATTTTTAGCTTCAACACTATCCCCATCAAGCTACCAATAACCTTCTTCACAGAACTGGAAAAAAACACCTTAAACTTCAAGTGGAACCAAAAAAAGAGCTGGCATAGCCAAGACAATCCTAAGCAAAAAGAACAAAGCTGGAGGCATCATGTTACCTGACTTCAAACTATACTACAAGGCTACAGTAATCAAAACAGCAAGGTACTGGTACCAAAACAGAGATATAGGCCAATAGAGTAGAAAAGAGGCCTCGGAAGTAATGCCACACACCTACAACCATCTGATCTTTGACAAACCTGTGACAAAAACAAGCAATGGGGAAAGGATTTCTTGTTCAATAAGTGGTGTTGGGAAAACTGGCTAGCCATGTGCAGAAAACTGAAGCTGGGCCCCTTCCTTACATCTTATACAAAAATTAACTCCAGATGCATTCAAGATTTAAACATAAGACCTAACACTGTAAAAACCCTGGAAGAAAACCTAGGCAATACCATTCAGGACATAGGCATAGGCAAGGACGTCATAACTAAAGCACCAAAAGCAATAGCAACAAAAGCCAGAATAGACAAATGGGATCTATATAAACTCCAGATCTTCTGCAGAGAAAAAGAAACAATCATTAGAGTAAATTGTCAACCAACAGAATGGGAAAACATTTTTGCAAGCTACCCATCTGGCAAAGGGCTAAAATCCAGAATCTACAAAGAACTAAAACAAATTTACGGGAAAAAAAAAAAATCAAAAAGTAGCTGAAGGATATGAACAGCCACTTTTCAAAATAAGACATTTATGTGGCCAAAAAACATGAAAACATGCTCACCATCACTGGTCATTAGAAAAATGTAAATCAAAACCACATTGAGATACCATCTCACACCAGTTAGAATGACAATCATTAAAACATCTGGAGACAACAGATGCTGGAGAGGATGTAGAGAAATAGGAATGCTTTTACACTGTTGGTAGGAGTGTAAATTAGCTCAGTTATTGTGGAAGATAGTATGGTGATTCCTCAAGGATCTAGAATTAGAAATACCATTTGACCCAGCAATCCCATTACTAGGTATATACCCAAAGGCTTATAAATCATTCTATTGTAAAGACACATGCACACATATGTTCATTGAGGCACTGTTTACATTAGCAAAGACTTGGAACCAACCTAAATGCCCATCAAAGGTAGACTGGATAAAGAAAATGTGGCATATATACAGTGTGGAATATACTATGCAGCCATAAAAAAGGATGACTTTATGTCCTTCCCAGGGACACGGATGAAGCTGAAAACCATCATTCTCAGCAAACTGACACAAGAATGGAAAACCAAACACTGCATGTTCTCACTCATAAGTGGGTGTTGAACAATGAGAACACAAGGACACAGGGAGGGAACATCACACACTGGGGCTAAGGGAAGGATAGCAGGGGGTGGGGGGATTTGGGAGGGTTAACATTAGGAGAAATACCTAATGTAGGTGGCAGGTGGATGGATGCAGCAAACCACCATGATATGTGTCTACCTATGTAACAATCCTGCGCCATCTGCACATGTATCACAGAACTTAAAGTATAATAAATAAATAAAAAAAGAAAGAAATAAGGAAAAGAAAAATCCCCCATGGAAGGTCGTAATTTTTCAGTGGCCTCCAATGAGATAACTTGTGTTAATAAATATAAAGAAAAAAAACGCCAAAAGCATAAGCTTCTTAAGTGTGAAAAATGGCTATCTTCAAAACTGAAACAGATGCCAGAACATGCTGCCTCCCAAATGTGGCAGTGGTGAACAGGCTCACAAAAGATTTCTCAGTTTACTTTTATTGAACTGTCTTTAATCTTCTACTATCTATAATATCTTTGACATATTTGCCAGGTTTAATTTTTGAATGGCAGACAAAAAGCTACTCCCCTATTTAAAAGAAAGGAGTCTGGGTTTCTTAGAAGAGCATCCAGGCACTCTCTTATCAGTCCCAACCATAGTAAAATTTCTTTATAAGCAACATTTTTAAAAGTAAGTGAAAAAGTTAGATAAAATTACAACATATATTGTAAAAAAATTCTTAATATAAAAATATACAGAATAAAAATACAAAGATGAACAACAATATATGGAGAAAAATGGCAAGGCATAGGAGCACAGCACTAAAAGAAAAAGAAATAAAATGGATAAAATGAATACTTTAAAATGTAATAATATATATAATGGGGAGAAATAGAAGAGCAGGGATAGTAATGGAGCATCTCTAAATCTCCATTTTTTATTTGACATTGAAACTAAGTAAGTATTCATACAATTGTAAAACAAAATAAAATTAACTTTTAAAAATATTTTCTATAGTTATCAATAATATAATACATAGTTTCAACTAGCTAGGGAGGTATGAACTTTTCCAACACAAAGAAATAAAACATATTTGAGATGATAGGTATGCTAATTATGCTAGTCTGATCACTGCACATTACTTGTACAGAAACATCACTATTTCATGTACAATTATTATTCATCAATTAAAATAATAAATAAAATTTAAAAAGGAAAAAGTAAATCTTAAAAACAACAGCAAACTGAAACAAATTATATCTTAACTGCTTATTGAGTTTTTGACAACTACACAAATATAAATTGATATAAGGTATTTTAAAGCAGAAAATTAGAGCATACATTCCAAGATGGATATAACTTAAGTACAAAATAAACTGTAAGAAAAACTTAAACGTTTTTACATAACCATAATTTACTATTAAAATGCTATTCTGAATATATTAGATATATTATCTATATATGAATATATATTTCTTATTTATATCCGAGTACATACGCATGTATATAAATTCAAAAACGTCAACTAAGTAATTACATTAATATCATTAAGAAACATGAGTTTTACTTATAGTAAAACTATAGAAAAGTATATAAAAAGTATATAAAATTATTATATTAATTAAAAGTTGGAAATAGATAAAATATATTGTAACCCTAAATTTGAATTTGACATATAAGTATGAACTCATGATGTATTTTCTTTAAAAATAAGCTAAAAGGCTTATCTATGTAAAAATTACATAGAATCTATAGAAAACATATACATACAATTGTGTATGTGCATTTATTTCTACATGCCCCCCATAAAGATCTAGAATCAATAACTTAGTGATAACCTAGGGTAACAGAAAGGTAATAAAGGAATTATTTTCTTTGTGGAAGAAGTCTGCTAATTATTAAATAAAGAAAAGATGGTACACCTAGAATATTGAATTTGCAGAATCTTGGCTAAAACTGTAGACCTACAATATATTATCAATAATTGCTAAAACCAGTAAGCAAAAAATGGAGGAGAATTTTACAATAAATAAATAGGATCAATTGAAGCCACTGATCTTACCATAGAACAAAGAGATACAGCTAAACATTATGTGTCTCCTAATTTGCTTCAAGAGGAGGTACACAGCACCAAATATTATATATTCTTGGAAGAAAATCAAACCTAAATCTGATCAAGCTTCTCCATCTAAATACTGGTTTATTGAAAATGGAACAAACTATACAAACAATGGGGGTTCAATCAGCCAAATCCAGGTGGCAGAGTAATCTACAAGAAAAATGTTCTGCTTCCTCAAACAACAAAAGGTGAAAAGAAATTATTTTTTAAGGTGTCTAAAAGACCTAAGAAACTCTATTAGTCAGGGTTCTCCAGAGAGACAGACAATAGAAGAGAAAGAACCAATAAGAGATGATGATGATAGATGATGGACAGATAGATAGATAGATAGATAGATGATAGATAGATACACAGATAGATACATAGTTAGATACATAGATAGATACATAGATAGATAGATAGATACATAGATAGATACACAGATAGACAGATAGGAGCGGGTTTATTTGGAAAATTGGCTCACATCATTGGAGAAACTGAGATGTCCCAGAGTAAATCATCTGTAAGCTGGAGAGCCAGGGATGCTGGTACTGTGGCTCAGTACAAGTCTGAAAGCCTCAGAACCAAGAAAGCTGATCGATGGTGTAATTCTCAGTCTAATGCTAAAAGCCCGGGAACCCAGGGGGCTGCTCATCCAAGTCCCAGAGTCCAAAGACTAGAGAGCCTGGGAATTCTCATGTCTAAGGGCAGGAGAAGTAGGATGTCTCCGTTCTAAAAAAAGAAAGGAAGAGTTTGCCTTTCCTCTGTTTTGTTGCTCTATCCAGGGTCCAGCTGATTAAATGGTGCCCACCCATGTGAGAGGAGGTCTTCCCCCCTCAGTCCATCAACCCACAGGCCAATCTTCTTTAAAGATACCCTGACAGACACACCCAGAGATAAGAATTTTACCAGTTATCCAAAGGTCCCTTAATCCAGTCAAACTGACAACCAAAATTAATCATTGAATAAACACATCAAACAAATTCAGTGAAAATGGATTATGGGTTCTGATTTGAACAAATTATGTAATAATAAAAAAGTTTCAATAATAAGTAGATATATGATAATTTATAAAAGTACTGTTAACACTCTTAGTTTATCCAGTTATTTGCATGATGTATAAAAATATATTTGACTACATTCACATTTGTTACATTATGAGCAATCCTGAAAAACAATTAGATATTTGCTGTAATATATTGAGATTAAAATGATAATTAAAGAAGATATGCATTATTATTTTATGGCTATAAAAGCCCTAGAACTGTAATGTGCTTATGAAAATGCATATTTTTAAAAGAGCATAATTTTCAGTTAGTATTAATGGCTTATGGCTGCTTATGTGCCTTTATGAAGTGAACATTATCTTATTGGTCTTTGAAGATAAAATTCTTAAAGAAATTTGAATTTTTCACATAATTTAATAGGTATTTTTAACCAATGGTGTTTTCCATGGCGATACATCTTAAGCAATTATAAATAGCTGGTGGAAAGTATATTTCGATAGATGGTGTTTATCCATGTGATTATACTGGACACACCCAGATAATTCAGTTCTCATTTCAACATCCTTAATCACATTTGCAAACCCTTTTACTATGTAAATTGTCATAGTCACAGGTTCTGAGGATTACAATGTGGATATGCTTGGGGAAGGAGAAATTATTCAGCCTACCGCACTATACTATGCTACTACACTACACTATACATTTACAATACACAATTTTTTGCAAATTATAAATACAAAGAAACTATTGATTATTCTTAAAATAATTACCAGCTTATATACCTCAATGTGTTCACCACTTTTTAGACAGAGTAAAATAGTATCACTTCTATTTTAGTCAATTTCTAATTCATTTTTTCATTACATGACAACAAATTTAAAAAGTGAGAATAAACAATCACAAGAAGACTACCAGGTGTCATTTTGATACGGGGTTATCATGAGGAAAGAGTTTCTCTACTTATTTGTGTATGACTTTAGAGGCTTGAGAAAATTTACTGTTTAACATTTTAGAGTTTTAGTTTAAAAAGAAAAGCAAATCATTTTCTGTAATTTTTATGTTGATTCGTTTATTTACTATGTGTCAGTTGCCAGTCTGAGAATGATATATATATATCTATATATCTATATATATATATATAGATATCATATATATATCATTATATATATAGTTTCCTCACTTGGATATACATATATATATATATATATATATATATATATATATATATAAAACATGTAAGTCATTGTGCACAATTTGATATTAAAACAATAATAAAATGAACTATTTACTAATAAATAATAAGCTTCTACCATTGTTAAACTTCAGTGACCTAGTTTTTCCTATCCATAAATGAGGATGTTTGGTATAAGTAAGGTTGGTTTAGTTTGCCAGGGTCCATGCCCTGCATAACCATTGTTTACAAACTCAACATAAATTTCAAGTGACCTACTATTCACTGTTGAGGTCAGATCCATAATCCAGACAGCCCTACCTCAGTTTAGATTCCTTCAAATATTCCAACTCTCCAATACACCAAAAATATGTGAATAATTACAAATTCAAAAAATCCCCACAAATATTCAAGGTGGACTCTCAGTTGTTAATAAGAGTGATTTAAAGAAGATGGAATTACCTGATGAGAAACTCTACATGCAAACATAAATATATTTATATATCTTCTATGTTATATAATGGAAATATTGTATGGATATACATGTGTATATATATATACATATATGCATAAATATATAGCTATACAAAATATAACAACAAAAAATTGGACAGGAGTGGTAGTGTGTGCCTGTGATTCCAGCTACTTGGGAGGCTGAAGTGGGAGGATCACTTGAGCCCAGGAGGCAGAAATTGCAGTGAGCAGAGATCACGCCACTGCACTCCAGCCTGAGCAGCAGAAAGAGACTCTGTTTCAAAAAATAAAATAATAATATAAAGCATTTACACTATTTAACTGAAAACCAATGTATGATAATATGAATATTTGTTATTGAAGTCTTTCTATGAAAAGATTAATAAAAGTAAAAATTGCATTATTTGACATGGC